GGGGGGGGGCGTACTCTTATGTTTTTCATGCCTTAGCGATTAGGCCATTGACCACGCGTCCTCGAAAGGACGGAGCATTGGGGGGCGGGGGCGGGGAGGGGGGGGATGATCATGTAAACACGTGCCGTAGTCTCACATCACCGCCAGCAACAACAGCGGAACGATACACCCGCGAGCCGGTACCCTGCTGCACCTCACGGGGCCACTGCTAACCTTAGCCGTGATGCCGTCAAGGTTTTCCCTTCGCCCGGCCAAGCTACACATGCCAACCATCTCCCCAAACGAATACAAAAAAAGGGCTATACGGAACTTCCCGGCATCGCCGTCCGTGTTCCGCCGGGAAGCATCACGGAAGGCCGGAGCAGGTAGTGGTGCTAACCGGTATCGAACACCCGTACCGCCAGTGTGCTGGAAGTGGCTATCACGCCGAGAAAAACGTTCCACACCCTGTACAACCACAGCTGCAGGTAATGCTTGTGTGCCAGACTACCACAAGCATACGGTAAGCTTGTGCGACCATGTAGGTTTCTGCAGACAACTGCGGTTTGAAAAGCTTGCGCGACACTCTTTAGATTCTCGCAGGCAACCTCCGCCTCTTGGCAAGCTTGTGCCACTATTAGATGCCTGCAGACAAACGCTGTTCGACAACATTGTGCACCTAGTAGATGCCTGCAGACAAAAACACTGTTAGACAATCTTGTACGAGTAGATATTGCCTGCAAGCAACCACTGTGTAAGAGCTTGTGCGATGAATACATGCCTGCAGGCAAAAACGACAACAATGGTTTGGACAGCCTGTTTGCATCTGCAACCTCTTCGTGTCCTCACGGTACAACTCGCCTTTACGTTTTGCACGAGTGTCACCCCGTGTTGTCGGAGGATGTCTTGAGCAAGGCCGCTAACGGTCTTGCTCACCAAGAGAAGGTGAGGCCGGAGAGCTACGATCTTGTTGACCAGGATCTGCGAAGAATAAATAGAACACAAGCATGATAGTCGTCGTCATGAGCATCTCCGATACTATGGTGTTCGTCATCGGCTTCATCATCATCATCAGGCGAATGGAATGCCGCAACCGTACACAAAAAAAACGAAGCAGAGAGAGCAACGCTTTGGCACAACGACCGACGTGATAGCACCAGCACGCAGCAACAACAACAACAACAACAACAACAACAACAACAACAACAACACTTTACCTCGATGTACCGTTTCTCTGCCTCGACTAGCGTATCGAGGCAGGCGATCATCCGCTCGCTACGCTGGAACTCGATCCCTCCAGACAACACCAGCAGACGCGGACGCTCGATCACCCTAACCCCGAAAAAAACGACGTTCGAGGGAAAGGGGACAGCTCAGAAAAGAAGAGCCATCTAAACGGACGCATTGCGTGAGACCGCGGGGACGCGCGATGACGCTGCCCCCCCCCCCAAGGAGATCAAAAAGGTGTACGTGAAAGGGACATGGGACAACTCATAAACGAAGAGCCATCCACATGGAAACAGTGTGTAAACAGTGTGTCAGGCAACGGGAACGCTCCATGGCGCTAGCCCTGCCGATAGATCAGGTGCGGGAGCAAGGGGACAGCCCACCAACGACGCACGTGTCTTCGCTGCCGCAACAGGTGCACAGCCCGGTGGGATTTTATGTGTACCTGGCCTGTGCGAGGCGTGTCCAGAAAGAGCCTCATCCATCTACGCGAGCCTAAGCAACTGCAACTTTTCTTGTACATATGTGATCAAGTCACCGATGTGGTGACAACAACAACAACAATACCTCGCACCTTGGCATGGTCTTGTGCGTGACGTTTTTTCGGAAGACGATGCCGTCTACATATCGGCACTCATCACGGTGCCCCCCGGGAATGAGCTTCACCTTCACGTACGGACGGATGTCGAGAAAGTCACCTCCTTTCACGTTCGGGTCGACGGTACTCACCGCCTAGAGGGATTCGCGTTGGGAACGGGGGGGAGGGGAGGGGGGAGGTACTCATGGCAATGCATGCCGTAGCCGTTGCCATGTAGTCTAAGCCCGGCCGTTGGCCTCGAATTCCTACAATGCCGGACTGAGTAAAATGCCGGGTTTTCGCCGGCTATGTTTCACAAGAATGACCCACAAGCTGGTCGTCATCCTTGCATTTGGAGGGGGGGGGGGGGGGGGGGGGG